ACAAGCTTAGTTCAGTTTATACAACTGTGTTATTCTTAAGGCGACAACCTCAAGTACTTCAATAGACTAGTCTTGAAAATGCGGCATGTGGTCGAAAAATACAGTAGCCCTAATAAATCAGAATTCAATTCGGTATAGAACCAAGATACCCTGAGTGGCACTCAACCGCAGTACAGCGAAGCCACTTCAGTACTTGAAACAATAATTTGCAAGAAGACCCTGTCCAGTCGTCATGACGGAAAAACTGATTCGTTAACATTACGTGGCCGAAGTGCTCAATAGCACCAGGGGTAACACAAGTTGAATTACAACATTAGGACGGCTGTAAGCTGCCAGGGGCTGAGATATAATCAGTCGTCATCAACAACAAAAAAATGGCAGCATATCCACGGAGTGAATGATGGAGAGTGGGGTGAAGCATCCGTCCGTCCATTCGTTCTTGCTTCCGTCCGTCCATGCGTCCGTCTGTGTGACCGTCCGTGCGTCCATTCGCCCGTCCGCGCGTGCGTCTGTTCGTGCGTCCGCACGTCTATCTCTGCGTCCGTCCTTGCGTTCGTCCATGCATCGACCCCTGCGTTCGTCCGTGCGTCCATCTGTTGGTGCAGCCATTCGTGAGTCCGTCCATGCATCTGTCTGTGTGTCCGTTCGTCCATCTATTCAACACTCCAAGTACCACCATCTCGCATATTTTCATCATATATTCCGCATATGCACCGCCATGCAGCGGACATTCCAAGGACTAAACGAGAGGTGGCACACGCACACTTTCTTACGGCTTGCGCTTCGTGTCTACTTCCCACCTTCAACCACCTCGAGTTCATGGTATAGACCAGTTCACTGTATTCATGGCACTGCGGCTCAACGCTCGCTAAACCTTTCTAAAACCAAGGAGGTTATGCCCAGCGAATATAACGTAGCTACCCTTTCTTGTCAGACAGTGCTCAACGTACATGCCAATGGCTGCTAAAGGGGAATGAGAGACAGGAGAATTCGGCTTTTAGTTAACGCGCAAGCTGCGACTTTTTTATTGTTCAAAAACGCACAGAAGAAATCTCTCACCGGCACCACCTTGGAGGTGAAAATGTAAGACTGGTTACACACTACGACTACTACTATGACTACGAGGGACAAACAGGTGCTGCTATAAGGAGCTTCGCCCCTAAAAGTAAGAAGCTACACAGGTGCTCGCACAGCCTTATACACGTGTAGCAGATATACTTCGCAACTCCTATTGAACTTGCGTTACCGCTCATGAGGCGCTCGAGCCACGTGATCTTTTCTATCACCGCCGTCTATGCGTCTAATAAAAAAAAGCGCAAGTAGCACGTGACCTCACCAGCTGCGCGTTAACCTCGCCTTTGCGGGGCTAAAGCCCTGATATCCCAATTCGCGTTATGCAACGCGTGCGGTAAAATGGCCATTCCGAATTATGTTGTAGTGGTCTTTGGCGAATGCAAAAAAAAATCTTGTGAGTTTTTTTTTTTATTGCGCTAGCAATTATTTCTGGACACTCTCAGCTGGTTTTCGCCGTCGGCGTCGCCATCCAGCTTCAGATCAAAGAGGTAAAGAACTCTGTTTATTTATTTAATTTACCTCTTTCATGTGAAGCTGTATCCAAGCAGCCAAATGTGGGGCTGATATTTCGTGCTTTGCATGCCGTATGGCGAAAAATTATGGAACATCTCCCCGAAGAAAACCCTGATGGAATGCGAAGCAGAAGTGGTGCGCACGGCGTTGACCCGGTTGAAACGGGCGTCGACGCTGGTGCCGGAAGAACGGTTTCAAGCGAAACTCGGTGTAGCGTTTACTCGAGTGATCGTTTGTTTGAGACGCAAAGACACGGGATGCGGCTTGGGATTCCTGTAAGTTTCATCGCAGAAAGACTGTTCGGTCGATGTGAGCTTCAACATTGTGAGGGTTAAGCGAGAGAGATGACACGCGGCGAGCGGCGACAGACTAGAGAGAGGGTGACGTCAACGCGCTCACATTGCGAGGGAAGGCGTGACCTACTTGGCACAGCCCCAACACCTGCAACCAGGAGAGCGCGGTGTGGACGGAGGGACAGCGTACACGTGTTAGTCAAAGAGCCGCTTCGTATCTAAAAAATACGCGGCGGGGGGGGGGGGGGGGGTAATGAAGTTCGAGCTCCACCAACAATGGGCGTGGTGTGGCAAACCCTGGCTAAGCCACTGACCATAACCTTGTGCATAAAAAATGATGTCAAAGGTCCAACTAAGCAAATCTTAACGCCCCTCCTCACACGATACAATTAAGCAACTAAGAGTATTTTCTTTCTATGTTGCTTGGGACTACAAATGGGTGGTTGCCTCCTTTTCCTTTGCAAACCCTTCCGCCACATTGCGGGTTTCCGAAGAACTCATTTGCAATCTGATGGAGGGAACAACCTGACAGAACTCGCTGCATACGACGCGTCACACGTGCCAGGACATCTACCACGCGTAAGCGGGGGTGAAAGAGCGTATCAACGACGTTCTTCCGCTCTCCGCCTGCGTGCATCAGGTGTCCCGGCGGCACGTGCTGTGTGGCTGTGCGGACAGCGCGTGAATAGGAAGCCAAAGCAACGCATGGTGGCGCTGCAACTCCGGACAGCCAGCGCCATCTTCGGTTGAAAAGTAGTAATCGGGCATGTAGATGGTGCGTTTTCTCTTCGCTCCAATGCGCTGCCGCTCGCTTACGTGCTCGTGCAGAGAGCACGCGTTGCGTTTGAGTCACCTCACAATTTACCGCCTACACTGTGGCTTCATAAAAATCTCTGAGCTGGTAAAGCACTTCCGAAAAGTGAATCGAACAAACAGGAGTAAAGCTCGTTAGTCAAGTTCATGATGTGGAGCAGACGACGGAAGAGAAGGACGTCCGATTCACTGCGAAATGCATTTCTCGGGTCTTCCCTGATAATACCGTGTATGATGTATGCCTCGAGGTAAGTCTCATTCCGCCGACATGAAGTCGCGTACTCTATCGATGTGCTGTGTTGACGTGTATGGAAACCATATATTTGTTGTTTTGATGCGGTGCACTGTCCTGGGCAAACGTTTAAGGCGTGCTGAAAACAATACATAAAAATAAAGCTATATGGTCATGGCATTAAAATATCCGAGAAGTTTTAGAGGGATGTCCTCCATGCCTCGCATGACCCGCTGACGTCGCCGCGAAGCAGCAAGCTAAGTTTAACCCCAGCGAGTCAAATTGAAGTGTTCGCTTTTTTTTTTTTTCGGCTCTCGTGTCATGCTTGCTTTATCTTTCGCGAAGTCGGCTGTGTTCGCCGACTGTTACTAGATAGGAAACTCATACATCTTTACACGTGGAGAACGTCCCTTGGTGTTTTCAGCATTGTTAAGGCAGCCCTCAACACGACACTTCGGACCTCGCCGACGCTTCCGTGGGGCCGCTTCCATCGCGGAAAGGCAACTTCGCACAGCGAGAGTCTCGTTTTAGCGCGCCAAGCTGACGGCACGGCGCCTAAGTTCCCCCGCAGCGACTGCACGACGCATTGCGCGCGTGTCGCACGCGGTCCCGTTTCGGCGAAACACACTCGCCTGCGACCTCTCCCGCGTCTCTCCTCAAGTGTTCCGAAGCTCGCCGCCAGGGCCAGGCGCGGCGTTGTCATCGCTCCGCAAACTTGAGCTTCGGTTCCCTATAGGCTCTGAAATCATAAAAGGGCACACCGCAGCGCATTGCACCGCATGCGACTGCAAACCTGGCTCTGAGCAATGCACTCCATTGACAACCATAATATATAAGCTGACACGGGAAACCATTGCACAATGTTTTATTTGTAATGAAAAAAAAACATATATGAATTAGCCACATAACAGTGTCATTATCACAGAGTTGGTTGAAATCGATTCAGGAAACATAGAGAGTAGGCTATTCTCGTACACATTATGTGAATGTCTGAGTGGTAAAAACATGCTCATTTTTGGTTGTCACCCTTGTTGTTGTGTAATGGTTTCCTAGTGTACGTGACATGATTTGTGTTTAAAGTTATTTGTTTAAAAGTAATTAACTTCTAAGTTGCGAAGAAGCGCCCGTCTCGTTTGTCTATCCCCTCATCCATGTGTTCACGCTGTTCCTGTTACATTTTTTTTTTTTTTAGAGATGAAGGATGGCGACCTCGCCCAATTTGCTCTTACTACAATTCATAAGTTCATGGTCTCGACTATCTACATTTACGATTTATATCGCGGGAACTGACCTACTTTTGTGCGTGTGAGTGTTTAATACGTTGGACAAACCTGCAAAAAAAAAAAAAGGGATAAGGAATAACGTTGCTTCTTTAGCTTAGGCTCCTCAATGGTGCCTTCTGAAAGAGTTGCGTAACAATGCAACAGTGCAATTTCCTGATTTTCTAAAAATGCTCGTCATTATCGCCATTGTGAATGTGTATCGGTGAACAAATCGCTTTTTGATTGGTGCCTGCGGATGGAGAAATATGATAAAGTGAACAAAAACTACTTCACTATTTATGGACTCCAAACATTAAATTACCCTCTTCAAAGTGTAATGCACAAGTGGAAACCTACAACTGAGGGTTTGCGAATTTTGTACAAAGCTTATATAGCTACATTGGTTGTGCTGATAGCGCTGATCGTGGTGCTTTGCAAATTTTGGGAGATTTTCGTGATTGTTGTGATTGTTTGGACTTTTTTGTTATTAGTGTCACTCTGTTATACCTTGCTTCATTATGAACGTTTATCTGCGTATTTTAGAGTTTTCATTTCCCTATTCACTGTGATGTGCCACATGTGTGTGAGTTTGTTTCTGTTTTGTTTTTTTCTTGCGGTATTGTCGCTTTTCTGTGCATGTAACTTTGTTATCATTAAGGTGAAGGGGGCCTGTCGAGTTGTGAAATTCAGCTTTTTTTTCTCTTCGCACCAAACCATGGATATACTGTAACCTCATGCACCTGTCACGTGGTAAAGTTATCTCGGGCCCCAAACTGAACCGTGCTGAAACGCGCCCTTGTTCTATTCAACCAGGCTCTGGGGAGCTGCCCTGATCGACAGCCTGTCAAGGGACTCGCAGACGTTGGGATTCCTGCCAGCTCCGATAGGAGCCGCTGGCAGCGCTCTCCAGGGGACTTCTCCACCACATGCCCACGGCGCTGCCTCCTCGTGCTGCTGCTACTTACAACACGCGCTGTGCCGGCGCAGCGAAGGTGTAGCAGACGAGCTCCACTCGTATCGCGACGAGCCATGGCTGATAGCGGTGGGCCCGTAATCGTCGTGGGTGCCGGAGTAAGCGGTGAGTGCGATCCCCCCGTGGCTCGCTCGGCAGCATTCACCTGGTTCGAGCGCGAGGTCGCGGGTGCGATTAACAGTAACGACAACCACGTTCCAGTGGTTGTGCGAAAACGCTCTTGCTCTTCAAGTCGTCGGCATGTCAAAGAATCGCACAATTTACGTTCAGCCTACACATGATTGGCCTGTTGGTGTTAACTATGTATGTGAACTTTTCTACTCACTTTTGTTGTCCTAGAAGTATGCATTCGTGTTACAATTGTTTTAATTTCTTGAAGTTTTGAAAATCGATGTCAAATTGTTTTTTTCATGTTTTGTGCTCTGCGGATTTTTGTAATGCCAAATGAAAAGGGGTAGGAGCCTCGTCAAGCTGCTAACATAGCAGCTTTTTGCTCTTATCCTTGCGTTTTCTTTTTCGCAACTCTGTGAAGAAAATGCTCAATAAAACTGAAACTAAACTAAAAAAACTAAAAACTAATTATAATTTATTGTAATTGCTTAGCTATGTATGTACACGTGATTGCACGTGTGATTGTCTCTCATTTCATTGACAGATGCCAAATCGCTTGTGCAACGTGTGCTAGAGTGAGAAATATCAAATACCCTCACGGTCAAACGTGTTACAAAAGAAAATGCCTTAAGCGCAAAGTAAGAAAAAAAACAAAATATCCTTTATCGCTTTTCAAAATTTCGCACTAATGTGAAATATAACCTAGTTTTAGGTCATATGACTTTATTTAGGTCTATAAAAAAGACTTACATAATCCACTCTCAAAGCCGTACAAGTAAGGTCATATCTATGCGCGTGTAATGTTTACTAAAGCTGCGCAAATTTGTGTATGGTCAGTGACCGACGGTGCCCAGTCGGCGTCCTTTGCCGCATGCGGATAAAAAAAAATGACAGCCTTCTCTTTTTCGCAGTTCTGGCTTGACGTGGATGGCATTTACGAAAAGAGATATATGAAAGATCACATCGTTGCCTAGTCGACTTATTTCTTTAATTAAACTCAGAGCTGATTAGCAGCACGTGTGACGAGAGGTGTCATTTTTTTACGAGTATTTCACGTCGCTTAAGCTGGCTGCACGGCGATAAACCTATAGAGTCCATGTTTGTAAACAGCTGCAGGTGCCGTGGACACATTGAGGCGCTTGTAGTGACGTCAAAGCGCGCAGGCTCCGCCCAGCTTAAAGCTTGCCCCGCCCTCTATGATGACGTCACAACTGGCACGGCAGCTGCAAAGCTGCCTCGGAGGACAACGCGTCACGCACAGCACGTCGCTACAATCGCCTCAGCATGTCGACAGCGCCTGCCGCTGTTTACAATTATGGAATTGATGTATAGGAACCGACCAGAGCAAGCTACGTTAGGGTTGCAAATGATAGCAGAAGTGTACTCTAGTTTACTCGTAGTTATTCTTTTGTATATAGGCATGTGGCTGCGATGAGTTGTCTTTAAAGGGGCACTGTTTATTAACTTGTCCATGTGACCGGCTAAAATCCGAAATAATGTCTGCAACCACTCATTGGTAACAGACCAAGCAAGGTAGATTTCGAAGTATATAAGATATGTACTACGTCACACTCATGTTGCCAACATTCAATCATCAGATGAATGGCATTCGAGAAGTTGTACGACTTCGCTACGCATGTAAAATATTTCGCGAAAGTTATGCGGGATTGCAGGAATTGTCAACCGTGTGTCAAATGGCAATGCTAGAATTGGACGATGTCAGATTAGAGTCGTCGCCAAGTGCTCCACAAGGTGTGACTTGGGGCAGCATTTACAATCATCATCATCATCATCAACCTGACTACGTCCACTGCAAGACAAAGGCCTCTCTCATGTTCCGCCAGTTAACTCGGTCCTGTGCTTGCTGCTGCCAATTTATACCCGCAAACTTCTTAATCTCATCTGCCCACCTAACCTTCTGTCTCCCCCTAACCCGCTTCCCTTCTCTGGGAATCCAGTTAGTTACCCTTAATGACCAGCGGTTATCCTGTCTACGCGCTACATGCCCGGCCCATAGTCCATTTCCTCTTTTTTATTTCAACTATGATATCCTTAACACCCGTTTGTCCCCTAATCCACTCTGCTCTCTTCTTGTCTCTTAAAGTTACACCTACCATTTTTCTTTCCATTGCTCGCTGCGTCGTCCTCAATTTAAGCTGAACTCTCTTTGTAAGTCTCCAGGTTTCTGCTTCGTAGCTAAGTACCGGCAAGATACAGCTGTTATATACCTTCCTCTTGAGGGATAGCGGCAATCTACCTGTCATAATTTGAGAGTGCTTGCCGAATGTGCTCCACCCCATTCTTATTCTTCTGGTTACTTCAATCTCGTCGTTAGGCTCTGCGGTTATTACCTGCCCTAAGTAGACATAGTCTTTTACAACTTCAAGTGCAGTATTACCTATTTCGAAGCGCTGCTCCTTTCCGAGGTTGTTGTACATTACTTTCGTTTTCTGCAGATTAATTTTAAGACCCACCTTTCTGCTCTCCTTGTCTAACTCCGTAATCATGAGTTGCAATTCGTCCCCTGAGTTACTCAGCAATGCAATGTCATCGGCGAAGCGCAAGTTGCTAAGGTATTCTCCATCAACTCTTATCCCTAACTGTTCCCATTCTAGGCTTCTGAAAACCTCCTGTAAGCACGCGGTAAATAGCATTGGGGAGATTGTGTCCCCCTGCCTTACACTCTTCTTGATTGGTATTCTGTTGCTTTCTTTATGAAGCACTATGGTAGCAGTTGATCCCCTGTAGATTTCTTCAAGAATGTTTACATATACTTCATCTACGCCTTGATTCCGCAGTGTCTGCATGACGGCTGATATTTCTACTGAATCAAACGCCTTCTCGTAATCTATGAAGGCTATGTATAGTGGTTGGTTATACTCTGAGCATTTCTCTATTACCTGATTGATAGTATGAATGTGGTCAATTGTTGAATAGCCTGTTAGAAATCCTGCTTGTTCCTTTGGTTGATTGAATTCTAATGTTTTCTTTACTCTGTTAGCAATTACCTTTGTAAATAGCTTGTATACTACAGAGAGCAAGCTGATCGGCCTGTAATTCTTCAAGTCCTTGTCATCTCCATTCTTATGTATTAAGATGATGTTAGCGTTCTTCATCTTAATTTACATATGAACTTCCATATCCTGATTACCCTCCTGATCTTTGATTGATATGCGGGGTTTAACGGCCCAAAACCACCATATGATTATGAGAGACGCCGTAGTGGAGGGCTCCGGAAATTTCGACCACCTAGGGTTCTTCAACGTGCAACCAAATCTGAGTACACGGGCCTACAACATTTCCGCCTCCACCGGAAATGCAGTCGCCGCAGCCGGGATTCGATCCCACGACCTGCGGGTCGGCAGCTGAGTACCTTAGCCACTAGACCACCGCGGCGGGGCACTCTCCTTACCTTCCGACCTGGAAACATCATTCTGATGTTTGCTGCAAGATTTTTATAGGTATAAAGGAAGAAAACTTTTAGACTCGATAGCATTAAAGAGCTCGTTTCGCAGAACTGATTCCGGCGTCGGCGTCGCTACTTGTGAGCGAAATATTATTGTCTTATGCGGGACCGAAAAAACGAGAACGATGTAAATCAAATAAATGATAAAAAATTGTGAATCAGAGTGGGGACCCAACCAGGGTCGTTTTGGTTTGAGTGGGGGTCGAACACGGGTTGTTTACGTGGCAAGCGGACGTTCCACAACACGGCCACGCGTATTTTTTTTTCTTTTTTTCTTTCGTGCTATCTATTATAATGCGTATTCGAAATTTTGACATTTGCTTTGGCGTATAAGGATGCATTCACTCAGCGGCAATAGTCGCACAACTACTGCACAAGCATTCAAAGGCTTACATACATACAACTTAGCTGGTGCAGAAAAAGAGGGAAAGTTTTTCTGAATTTGGTAAGGATGAACACCTCGACGATTTTGTTTGCGAATATTCAAATAACTAATCATTGTGCGTATTAAGTTTTGCTAAGCGCTGACAACAAAAAATCAGCAGTACGTGTGAGGATTCCACTAAGAAAACGACGTTGTTAGTGACATTAGCAGAAGAATACATTTTCTTAACGTTATGCCTCTTGCGGAAGACGCTTGACAAGCCTCGATGGAGTGGCATTCACTTCATTCTGTCGAGAGCGACAGCTTCAAAGGACAATGGCAGCTGTCTGCAGCACGTCACTCACTCCCGCTACTTGTTTTGCAATTGATCGGCCATATGTAGTGATATGAGTGAAGGAGTAGCGAAAAGTGCACCGTCCTCGTGTTTGTTTCACTATGCACAGCTGCGACCAACGATATCTAGTTTACACCGCTGCATACATTGCAACTAAGCGTCGGAAACTCTGCCGTGCGAGTAAAGCACTCAGAACTTACGAAAGTGTTGTCATTCAGTAGGTTACACAACGTGACTCCGATCAACTTGTGCCGCTATTCGCTGCGTGCGCTGAACGGGCTACAACTATCACGTTATTTGAAGCAAAAACACATGCTGAAAATGTGTATAGTTTCGTTATACACCATTCTCGTTTCATCGCGTGACAGGCACGTAAAAAAAGGGAACGCCCACATTATCGCAATTTCCTGCGTTCCAACAGGTGCGTTATACCCGAGAGACTCACAACGGCTTTAGCATGCAGTCAATGGGGACATTTCTCGAAAGCCCAGCTCTGCGTGAGTAAATAGCAAGAGCAGACAAATATTACAATGTACCCAAATACGTAAGGCGTGCCTCGACACTGAAAGTTCCCAAGTTGTCCACCGTCCTACTAACAAGCATACATAGCAAGTGAGCGTGTTACAATTACTGCAAAAGTTTTATCGTACTCTTGAAATTGGCGATGATAACTGCCTGCCCTTACGTGTGCCACTGTGCCTCACCAAACCGTACCTAAAGCTATAGACGCGCGCACGAGGGGGAGGCGCAGCCCTCCTTCTTGTTTTAGCCACCTAAGAGGGGGTACGCATCACATCGCATCACATCAT